ACACACACTCTCTCTCTCTCTCTCTCTCTCTCTCTCTCTCTCTCTCTCTCTCTCTCTCTCTCTCTCTCTCTCTCTCTACAATACGCTTGAAAAAGTTACTGGATTCTGATTGGTTAAAAAGGAGTGCAGTTTTCATGTAACACCAGTGCAAATTAAAATGAAGACATCCGAAGCTAGTACGAAGACACGGCTAGAAGACTACCGACGGTCATCTAACGTATTTCAAAGGTGGTCGAAGTTCACCCGAGGTCTTCCGGAGATAACCGAAGGTAATTAGCCGTTTTCCGATTACTGCCGAATATAAACGAATATCACCTGAACATTTCTGGACACCTCTGACAATCATCCAAACCCTTCCGAAGATTTAAGAAGATCGTCCGAAGCTGGCCGAAGACTTTCAAACATTGTTGGAACAGTTTTGCGAATATTTTCGGAAATTTTTGAAGATTTTTGGAATACCAAGCGCACTGCAGCCTACCTGAGAAAACTGTTTAGACAAAAACCGTAAATATTATGTTTTCAAGCGTATTATTAAACAGTAATCAGAGCCCTACGGGCTCGTGCATATTATGTTTTCTTGTGCATATTATGTTTTCAAGTGTGTTATTAACAAGTAATCACAGCCCTACGGGCTCGTACAATCTTCAGTCTTTAAAAAATTTACAAGTGCTCATTCATTCCAATGTCCAAATTGCACTCAGAATCATGTGATTTCCTATACAAAGATCATGTGATTTAGAAGTCATGTAAGAGGTATTAATTCGTAAACATGAATTCGAAGTATGCATCTGATCTCTTACGCTCATTACAAATTTTCGTACTTTGTCCTCATGTTCTATATTTAACAGTTAACATATAAATACAAAACGTAGTGACTTACTACGCAGATAAAGAAGCACACGATGACAGCAAGCGGAATAACTGAAGGAATCTTATTTGCGGGCCACCAAATGTAACACCTTACTTCCCTTATCGTAAAAGGACTTCGACTGAAGCCTGTAGGATAACTTGAACTTGAAGGCAGATCTGCAGGCTGAAATGAACCATCGTGGAAAACTGCGTTATGGCTTTGAAACGTTTTTGTTAATAATACAATTTAAAGGTTTGCTTTCATATGCAATTACAGTATGCAAATTTGGTGGCCGGGATCAGAGCAATATTGATCACCTCTTTCTGTCTGAACATGTAAAATATAAACGTATTTCAATCACCACTTCCAATAGGTTTGAAACCAGTTTGCAACCTTATCTAACTTAGATATAGGCAAAACGTCTTAAACGTTTTGCAATATACATTTTGAGAATACTAACACACGCAAGTAACCGCGTTTATAAAATAAATAAATAAAGGGCGCAGCGAAATGATTGTCATTCATGTAAAGTTCCTAATTGTGAATAAGGGTGACAAGGTCTTTGTAATAAATGTCAGTTTAAAACTTCTTTTCAGTTCTATAAATCTCTCGTTATGGTTTTCATACCAGCTTGATATAGCGAAACGCAGCTGAACAAAGCGCGCGATTTTCTGGGCATTATATTACCACTGCCGGCTTGAGTAATATTGAGCTGCTGTGAAACGATTTTAGTAATAAGCAGGGAGCCTAGGTATCCCGAATTATGCACTATGAGTCGATGAAGCCTATTCTATATTCCTAATTGCGCTGAACTGAAGGGCTTAGTCCCAAACATAGACCAATTAGGATCTATCAAACGGCGACAAATGTATCGGCTTGGAACAATATCCTGAATTAATATTTCGTATTACGTTGAATTCAATTATTCTGATTCCTCGATGTGCACAGATCTCAAACGTATATGCTACTGATAGACTACTAAAATGCGATACCTTGTGATGTCTTCCCATGATGGCTGCTTGTAATCAAGCGTTGTTTTCAATTATTGTTCGATGGAATCTTTATCCAAGTATACACAATTGTTTCAAGATGTACTCGAGTTCGCATCGACCGATTCCGAGAATCGAAAGCGGACCCAGTTTCCCCGCTGAATTTACATTTCTGCATGATTATTAGCTCGGGGATTCCCCCTGGCATCATTGCAACTGCGCCGATACAGATCCTGATGGAGTAATTGATGATATATTGCATTCTCAGTCCTTCTTTACAGTGGCCCAAATAAGGAAATCGCCTTTTTGAGAGACAGCGAGGAGAGTTAACTGTTCTCCAGTAAAGGTCACGCAATATTTAGTCATTCTTAACTCGTGCAAATTTTAAAATGGTAATGAACCTTAATTTATAGGGTTACTAATCACAGTTCAGCTAGCTGAAGGAATTGAAGCATCCGAGCACAAGAGCCCATATTCTGAGTTTGGAACTTATAAGGCGTGGAGTTCTGATCATGGACACGAAATATCGTCGCTTGCCCATTGTGTGGTCGCTTAAGGCAGGTCGTTTGTTTTCATTATTTTAAGCTTGCTTTAGAAGGAGGCCTTTCTCGTAACAAGCGTACAAAATGAACATCGTACTGTCTTAGAACGATCTCGTATGATTAGGGTTCCAACAGACGGGGCACACCTTTGGTGCAGCTGGTATAGCTTGCAGAAGACGTAACCTAAACGTCCACCGGCCATGTGAAATGCTGTTAACCACAAAGTCCAAACACCAGCAATTACAAACAAATTTATTGATTACCAAGATAATTTTGGACGAGTAGAAATCTTAATGGGAATTTTATATTTTACAGTTAACGGCTAGAGATTGGATTTTTATCAAAACAGGCAAGTTTGAAACTTTGGTATCTGTTTAAAAATTACTGAATGCCTGATGAACACTATACCCGAACATAGTACACCGAAGTTATACTCAATAATTACTTTTGACATATATTACATTTTTGGTAATTGAAGAAAAAGGTAAGTGTACAAATTTAATATAAAATTTTTCAGCTGTTAAACTAGATCAATATCTTGCTTTTTCATAATGTACCAGTACCATTATCAAAAAATAATCATCAGTTTAATTTTCCATTTCAAAATGTAGCTACTCCTTCGTCATTTCATTAGTGTCAACATTATCACTTTGCTGATTTGCTGCTTTAATCAAAGGGAATTACCAAGGAGAATGATGGAGGTAGGAGCCGATTTTTGTATTTGACCACGAGATGAAAGAAACAGGATTATAAAAATAACTAAGCTATTTAAAGGAGCACAGTCGAGGCATTTTGAGTTATTTAGGCCACGTAGAAAATTAGCTTAGAATTGGAGAAAACCTGAAAGTAGTTGTTTACTAAGATAAAAAAATAATAATCCATAAAGGAACAAGTAGCTTAAGGATGCAGAAGATTAACACGGATTTACAATCCATGAACATGAAATATTTAGGTTTAACTTTTCAAAATGCGTAAACCGTGACGTAGCTCCTTTAAATCCTTGCAACACGGTGTCGTATTGTTTTAGCAACATTATCAAGGTCTACTCTAGGTTTCTGGAGAACATCAATGAGATACGAAACTGTTCTCCCTTGGCTTCCTAATTTATCTAACAACAACTTTGTAGGGCTTTCATTTTTTCCTCGCAAGTGTTCATAATATTTAAGTTCACATCT